CGCCAAAAGAGAATTTAGAGCTGTCTATAAATTGCCACTCTACGTTACTCCGTCAGGGAATACTTGAGATGGCAGAGGTGATAGTTAGCAAACCCAACCATAATGGATGAACGCTCACCGATGCGTTACGGGACTCATTCCTGTCGTCCTGCCTTGGAGTTCACTCTCGAGCCCCACTAACAGCCTCTCAGCGGCTAGTATTATAGGGAGATGAACATTTACGACAAAAAAGCGACTGGAATGGTCATTTCTAGCTTGTTAGCCGTCATCAGCCAGGCATACCCAATCCCAGGTGGTGCACCACTTGAGGCTCGAGCTCGTGACCCACTGAATGGTGAACGTTCACCCACCAGTCGATCTAAACCGGCAAGGCAACAAACCCAACCTTGGCCCCGCAGTTATTCTAGTCCAAGTTTAGCCTCACACATTCCTGCCCGCAGCCTACCAAATCACGCTAAATCGCGAAACAAAAAAGTATCCAAATGTAATACTTCCTTGCCGAATAAGTTCGGCTTAGATCATAATCCCTCCCGTCTGTTTGGCAAGTACAAAAAATCCGCAGCCCCTCCCTCCCTTGCAGTTGGTTGTTTTGTTGATTACTTTTACACATGTCGCCGCTCTACTGTAAGACATGTTACTCTACCGACCTGATAGTTAATAATCGATTATTTACTTTTTCTGAATTTGAATTCCCCGATTTAAAAGCACGCAAATTTATCCTCTTTAAGTCCTCTCCAAATTGCTAACTTTCAGGTTTCCTTGCCATCCAGCACTGGGCCTCAGCGATTGCTGATAGCGTACACTCAGTGACTGACCTCAGAAAATGTTAAACACAATTCTTAAAAGCGTCTTAGCTCACGAAATATAGCCTAACTGGACTTGTTTCGGTTTATACTCTCAAGCAATTTCAGACCCATGAGAATGCCGGCATTTGAATGCAGGTCTTTTAGATCTAGTCTTAAAACACAGTCCGTTTTAGAGGCTCACGTCTGCTATCCGAATTTGTGGACCTGCACCGCAACGGCCTTTCCGAAAGCAGGTTTTGTGAGTGAGCTCCGATATACTCGAATGTCAAAAGGTCACAAGGAAGATGTGCTGGACAAACACGAGGGCCGGATGAGGGCACGGTTGGCGTTGTTGAGGGCGCATACACATAACCAATGCAACACAGATATGGGAGGGAGTTGTTGGCGTGCCTAAGCGCAGAATCTCCCCGCGACGGGCACCTAAACTCAATCGTGCCTCCAGTCATCGTGATTTTGCCTTGACCTTCGGCCCAGGTGGGTGGGTGAGAAAGGAGGAAGTGCTAAGGTGCTGCGCAAATATAACATCACCATGACCTATTTCACGCGTAATTCACCGTCCCCATGCCCATCCCACTGTGAGGCACCCAATGAACCTCGTCGGAAACTACGGCCGAACTTTCATGTAGGGCAACAGTCCGGACGATGGGACTGACCTACCATCCTTTTTGTCATGCTCAATAGGCGAGGTTTTTCGTATATGGTATAGTTATGTGAGTATTTCCTGCATATCAACTGCAAAGGCAAAGCAAAGACCCTTTTTAAGACAGGGTGCAATGCCAACAGTATTTTATCTCAGAGTTTCTGTAAGACCTACCGTGTTATACAGGAACCGCGTCACAGGAGCCTGGTAGAACTGAAGAATATCTCTCGCCTGTCGACGAAACCTAAAAGTCGAAAAAGGCGTAGGAGGAGGAGAGGAGCATTTCAGACGGAAGGGGAGGGAGGGGGAAGTAGAAGGACCTACCATCTTTTACAAGCCCGGGCACGCGTGGTAGGACCTTTGCTGTCGGTCGTTCGTTCAAATTCCGAGAAGCTGGATAGGGTCTGATCTTCTATATCACTCTCGCGTGGACTAAGCTGTGACGGTAATACGAAAAAGGACAATTACTAGGGAGGAATCTTTATAATCCAGGAAGTTTTACGACATTTTCTTAACTACATGTTGGTTCGAATACATAAATGTCTTACGTACAACAAAGGACTGACAGGTGTTGTAACTTTGCGAAAAGTGCGACAGAAAATTATTTGAAAAGGGACATTTATATTCTATACATTCTTATCAAGGCGGTACGTTTATATGCTAACACAATCAAGTGAAACTTATGGGTAGTAAGAGAGATCGAGCGATATTAGTCCTATCGTAAAACAGGGACGTAGGGAAGATGGGGGCAAGCACAGGCAGGCAGTACGAATTAGGGAGGGTTGAAAAGAGTTTTCCTTTGAGTTACGTTTCAGTTTATAGCAAGGAGTAGAATAAGGATTGGGGCGATGGGCAAAATATGTTTTAGGGAGCGAGTTGGGGTCAAAGTTGGGATAAAATTTAGTCCTAAGCCCAAACCAAGCCACAACTAGGTGACAGTTACGTTTCGGGCTAACTACTACGCTTATTCCACATAACTACCTACTTATTTTGAAAAAGTAGGCATGCATTGTTCTACTACTTTAGCATCGGCAGTTTCCTGAGTACGACGCAGTCCATCCGCATACAGCAATAAATCCCCCCACGTAAATCTTAGTAATTCATGGCAATTTATGGCTTGAACCTGAGTTTAATTTTTCTTTAGTTAAGTTTATTTTTAGTTAGTTTAGTTTTAGTTTCATTTTTTTGGTAACATACGTCTGCTTTTTGGCATACAAGTTACTGTAAGTTTAAAAAAAAGAGGAAAAAACCTATCTTGCATGGTTTAACTTTAAGTTCAAAAATTGATATTGAGTCGACATAGAGTCGATATACGACTGTATGCAATCCGCGGGTACTTTTGGAGAGTGCTCATCACCTCTTGGCTTTATTTCTTATTTTAGTTATCGGGTTATTTAAATAACCATTCCTAGTATTTTCTATTGTTATGCGTTGTACTTTTTAAATTATTTTCCTTTCTGCTGATATGCCCTACCCATTCAGCCCCATTATCACTGGTCCCGTATCACAAAAGAATGGGGTTTTCGCGTGCTGTATTTAGCCCGAAACGTAACTGTTAGCCATAATTGTGATCCTAACAACAACTGCAACCCCTATTACATAATCCTTTATTTTAAATCAGCCATACTTCCGAAGTTAACGCGATTGTTCATCGCAATTCTAACCAGCAGCCAGCTCCTAAGCCACATCTTAATCCTAATCCATCTAACCGCATATCCAAACGCACTGGCCTGCGAATTCCAATGCACAGCTGGCCTAGATCACAGTGTTATCTGCTGGTGGTGAATAAACAAAGAAGGGTGAACGGATTTGCTCGCTGTGAAAAATAAACAAATTGTACCAACTTACCGGGTCGGAATCTAGCAAAATTCCACGATGATCCATACGAGCATACCTGACCACTTGTGGAATAATGAATGGTACCGTAAGGCCCAAGAACGCACCACAGAGTAACTAAAAAGGAATAAACAGGCAGAAGATTATAAAAACCGATCAAAACCTTACATAAAAGTCTCCGGTCATTGCGTAAATGGTTTGCTTTCAGACACGAATTGCCTTAAGCAATTGCGAAATTGTTGATTGTGGCTTCCCAGTACCATGACGGTTAGTAGTAGCGTGTAGGAACCTGAGAACCCAAAGACTTAGTGACAACCGTGGATGGGATTGTTCTCGGAAGAAAGGAGAAGTGAATGTTTAAATGAAAAAGTAACTTCCTGTCATTGCATGCAATAACTGAATGGGCACTCTGAAGCCAATTAATGGTACAAGTAGAAGGCAAAAAAAGAAGACAACTTTAAAAAGAATATTGGCATTTTTTAGGCGACGGAGCGGAAGAAAATCTAAACTATAAACTGAAATTCTGAGATTGCTTTCCATTAGAAAAGATTAATTGGTAAAAATTAAGGTGATCGCCCATGCTAAATGCCCCTAGCTCCAGAATTTTGTGTTACGGGACCGTGGTAATAGTTTAGTTTTTACTTTGTTATTTAGTTTATTAGCATAGCTTAGTTTTTAGTTTAGTTAGTTTTGTGTGGTATAGCCGAGTGTAGCTAAACCAAACTAAACCAAAAATAATAAGACTAAAAGTGTATTTCACAAGCTTCAGAACCTCATAATTATAAAAAATTTCAAATCGAAAGATATCCTTCATTCAAGAAGAAAATTTCAGGAAGAAGACATACTTTGCTCCTAAATGAGTACAAGAACGAATATGTGAATTCATCTTTTTCTATAATATATATTAGAATTTAAAAGGGCTTTGAAGATCAATGAGAAAAAAATGAGTACAAATTAAATAGTTCTTTTTATAGCGTGCAGTTCTGTAAAGCGACCGGAAGGACGTTCGTTCAAGATCCGGCATCGTGGCGCGATTGAAATAGCTTGAAATTCTGCTGTGCAGAAACTAATGTTAATGTGGTGGTCTGCGCTCAAAAACACTGCGCCCATTCATCTTGTCTTCGACCCCCAAGGTTTTGGGTACTCGCGCGTGACAAATTCCCCCCGCACGTTCTGTGTCAATCGCTGAATGAGGCCCACGTTGTCCTGTCCGTCTTACGGTCCCTGTCCATGCGTCACTTGAGGCGCGCGTAAGCTGGAGCCAATCTACGGGCGCCATTTCATTTGATTGGCCGCAGACGACAAAGCACACACCTCACAGTCAAGGCGTCCCAGCAATGGACACAAACTGTCGCAGTGTATAGTTATTTTTCTTGCAGTAAAAAAAGTTTTTTCAACCTACTCTGTCTTCTTTAACTTCCGATTTGAGAACCCTT